TTTTTTTTTTTTTTTTTTTTTTTTTTTTTTTTTCCTGTATCAGTAACTTTTAACTCCTTACAGAAGTTGTTGGGGGGGAGGGTGGCGTTGAAAACCTAAGAGTGAAGCTTGGTTTTTTGTGGAGCTTGTTTCTTTCATGCCCTTCTATATGCTACATTTCCTAGAGAAGATTTGAGAGATTGACCATTCAGGGAAATTATCAAATTTTAATTTTATTACTTATTAAAAACTGGAATGCCTATAAATACTGAAATTCGTGGGAAATGACTGGGCGGCCATAGTCACTTTTCTCTGATTGCTTGGTTTTCAGTCAAGAGATAGATTGCTAAAGGCTTTAAGAGCTATGAATGCTGGAGATGCTGCAGATCAGGTTATCAGGCAAGTGGACAAAATGGTGAAGGCTGCAGATCGAGCTTCGCGTGATGCTTGGCTGGCCAAGGTAATTATTTGCTGAGTATTGATGTGATCACTATTCTTTGTTGCTATATATGTTGCTTACTGCTTCCCCTTTTCGTGTCTCAACATTAATATCTTTGACAATAAGGATGATCAATCATCAATTCAGCATAATGCATCAGTGGATCTAACAAGAAAAAGACCTAGGCTTCTGGACGATGAAGAACTTTCCAATGGTCGTGAGGTTTCCAAGCAAAGTCGTTTTGGTCCAGATTTTCACCTAATCTCCCCAAATCAAAAAGATGGTTCTCTGCAGAATGCCGTCTCTAATGGGACATCTGTTCCTGCGTTAGATGTTGAATTAACTCCAGCAGAGCAGATGGTTGCCATGATTGGTGCCTTACTTGCTGAAGGGGAGCGAGGTGCAGAGTCGCTTGAAATTCTGATTTCAAATATTCATCCTGACTTGTTAGCTGATATTGTCATAACTAACATGAAGAACTTGCCCAAAGCATCCCCTCCTTTAACTAGGCATGGGGACTTGCCTGTAACTCGTCAAGGAAGTAGTCATGTGAAGGTTCTGACACCATCAGCCCCATTGAGTTCTGTGCAAACTTCAGTTGCTACTGCACAAGTTCCTTTTTCTTTGGTCACCTCAGCTGGTTCAACTTTGGCTGAGTCTACCGTCAATAGTCTCCCTGTTGATTCTAAACGTGATCCAAGAAGGGTAAATTTAGCCAGCTGTGGATGTGCATTGGTTTATGATTTTATGTCTGCCACTCTGCCTCTAAATCAATTATTTTTTTTCTACTCACTCATGCAGGATCCCCGTCGCCTTGATCCTCGCCGTGGAGGAGTATCTTCTGCTTCTAGTGTGGAAGAGGAAAGTTCAAATATATCTGATATTGACAACTCCATATCTTTGGGAAAATCTGCTTCAGTTCCTGTTACTGCGACGATCGAGAATTCCTTGGTATCTCCTATAGCAAAAACGAAAGTTGAAGAAAAAATCGTAGAGACCCCATTCGACCTTGGAACAGACCAATTAACCCCCAAATCAAATTCTCCTGATAGAGCCAAGAAAGTCGAAACTATATTAGAAATTAGTGCCCCTCTGGATCCCATGCCTTCTGCTGTTGGAAAAGCTGATGATGGTTTAGTGGCCGTTAATTTGCTCGATGACTCAGCGCCAAAGAGGGATGATACACCATCTTCCATGGAATATGATCAGTATTCTCCATCAGTTACAAATGCAGCTGCACCTGAAGATACCTGCGAGGAATTGCCTCTGCTTCCACCATACGTTGACTTGACTCCAGAACAGCAAATAACTGTAAGAAATTTGGCAGCTGAAAAGATATTTGATTCATGTAAGAATTCCACTGGAGCAGATTGCAATCAGATACGCTTGGCAATAATTGCTCGATTGGTTGCTCAGGTGGGGGCAATATTTGATTGTTTCTTTATTATTTTTATGTTTGTTCTCTCTATAACAACACAAATTTTAATTACTGTCAAAATTTTACAGTGCAATGAGTTTGGCGGGATTGAAGTTCAGCCACATTGTACATAAGGAAAATAACGGCTTTCCAACTAGCTATTAGTGTGAATATAAGTAACTAGTAAGGAAGATGTATTCTTCAAGTTTTTGTTGAGGAAGCCAAGAGGCCTAAGTGTAATATACTCTATTATACATTTATATTATATAATTTTCATTAGATTCTTCCTTCCCCCTTCGTAACTCTCGAAGTAACCCTTATCGCACTCAAGCAACATGGTTTCTCCTTTCAATATCTGCCTCTGGATTTTCACTTTACGAAATAAAGGTCGACGATTTGAGGGAGGGATCTGTATACCTAAGACTGACTGACAGCCTTTATTTTAAGGTTAATGAATAGGAAAATGCAAGAACAAGGGATCAATTTGTGTAGTATCACATTGGCACATTGTGTTCCTTTATAAGTGCATGAGGTATCATGGACTCAACTAATTTAATCAATGTTAACTTTTGCATCTGTCAAGACATATCTCTCACTTTAGGCCATAGTAATCTTTGTCGAAGTGACTCTTAATCAAGTTGGAGCAAGAAATGAGATGGATTTGAACTTCGGTGGTTTGAACTCAACAAACTTTTTTGGAGTTACAAAAATATTACTCAAAAAATATTTTATATTGTTGTATACTTTCATAAACTCTGTATATCCTCATGACAGTTAAATTACCTCTACATTTCTCATGCACTTCGTTTTCTGTGGAAAGGACATGTTGAACACATCTGCTTCATGATATATAATAATTGACTCTGCCAATTTTAGTATTGCTGTTGTACTTTGTATCGCTCCATTTGATTACAGAAAGGGAGTACTGTGTTGAATCTTTGGCTTTTACTGTATGTTTGAAAGGCAATTGGAATGGTCTGCATAGTTTTTTCTTACGTTTTCTTTGGACTAGGGATTCACAGGTTTTCTTTGTTAACTTGAATTACTGAGATAATTTATTGAAAATAATATGTTTGACAGACAATAAAATATATTGAATCTATGAGCTTATGTAATCCCAGAATGGTAGATAACAAGAACTTTGGTGATAGTATGAATGCAAAGTATGATATATTCTCATCTATGTTTTAGTACAGTTCTTTGGTGGCCTTCTGAATTTATATTGATTAAATTTAGCATATACTAAATACTACTAGAGAAATAATTTGTCCAATTTTAGTACTTTTTTGGCTTTTGATTGGAATTGCTTGATAATGTCATTTGTAATGCTTCACACGTGTTGCCAAGTCATACATATTCCTGCTGTTATAGTACATGATGAATTTTGTTCTCTTATTTCTTTTTTTGGTCAACTGGAGGTCCAAATGATTTGTGTGTTGCAACTGTTCAATGGCATGGTTGTTAATTCCATTTGGGAAAGGCTGGATATCAATTAACTGTTTTATGTAACTCTAGATTTGTTTAGTTGGACCTACAACTCTTCTGTATTTGATATCTCGAGCAATTAAAAAGTCTTTTTTCCTTTCTCATCATAGGTTGATGCTGACGATGATATTGTTCGAATGTTGGAAAAACAAGTCGCTATTGATTACCAACAGCAAAAGGTATCAAATTTCATGAGTGTTATTCAGCATGGAATCAGGATTCATGTAATTTACTGAAGGCGTAGGTTTGTTTGATCAGTCAATCTCAGCTTGTTGGTTGACTTGATGATAGGCATAAATGACATTCAATCATGGATTCTTTTCCCTATAATCTGTAATTTGAAAGTGCACATGGTAGTTTTGAGAGAAAAAAAAAAAAAAAAAAAAAATACATGTGGTTACATCAGAAAAGATTATTAAGATGTGATAAAACTATGCATTGAATGTGTAAATGTTTCCATTTATCAACTTTCTTAATCAGTTATTACCAGTTTTCACGATGCCAACAATTTTATTAGGTATATTTCCCTTTTCCATTGTTAATGGTTCTTTAATTTGAAAAATTGGGTTAGAGTATTGAAGTTGTTTTCGTCTTGATCAAATTCATAATATATAGTGTGTGCGTGTGTGTTTGTTTTTATCTTGTGGGCTGGGGTTTTTCTTTTTGCTTATTTGGCCTATCAATGCACACCTCGAGTATTGTAGTCGTAGATTTTTCTTTGAAATCAACAAGATTATGTAGTTCATAGATTGGTCACATCACAATCTTCATTTTTACAAATATCATGTTTGCGCTGTTTATGATTGCTATAATTTTCCAGATTCTTATTAAATTTTATTGGCACATGAACTCGTGGTTGGTCTTGAGCATTCATCTCATTTTGATGAGTTCTTTCCAGGGGCACGAGCTTGCTTTGCATGTCTTATATCACCTACGTTCACTTGATATTCTGGATTCAGTTGAAAGCTCTTCTTTTGCTGTTTACGAGAAGTTTCTTCTAGTTGTGGTATGCCACTTTTCTGTCATTTCAGATATTTTAATCCTTTTATCTGAAACTTCAGTTTCATTTTGACTTGTGAGTGATATAATTGCAATTTTTTATTGTAGGCTAAATCTTTGCTAGATTCTTTTCCAGCTTCAGACAAATCTTTTAGCAGACTTCTTGGTGAAGTTCCAACTTTGCCCAACTCTACATTGGAACTCTTACGTAACCTTTGCTATTGTGATAATGATGACAACCACGGGAATGATACTCCTGATATTGACCGTGTCACTCAAGGCCTTGGCACTGTTTGGAATTTGATTGTGAAGCGGCCATATAGTCGGCAGGCTTGCTTAGATATTGCTCTAAAGGTAGACATTCTTGCAGTTGGATTATTTTTTATGTTTTCATTATTTGTGTCATCCTTGTCGATGATGACCGACATTTTCTTATAAGAAATGTAGATAGAGGTAGGTATTGGTGAATTCTTTTGCAGATGTTGTGTCTTTAATATATTTCCTCTGATCTTGTGTAGTATTCAAGTACAATCATTTTGATCATTCGTTCGCATGTACTTGCTAGCATCTAAATTAGGGTGCTAGAATATTTATTAATGAAGGAAGACTTCAGAGAAAAGCATGTCGACTAGTTTCTATGGTACCCCAGTTCTTGGTGGGAGGGAAAATCAAAGGCCTATGGCTAGCTTGGAGGATATAGCTTTTTTGGGTATCAAATATTGTCAAAGAATTGGATATCTAAAAGGACGTAGAATCCATTGCTGACTTAATCGAGCTATTATAGGCTTTGGGGAAGTAGGATTTCTTATTATCCTAAGTAGGTGACCATTGGGTTTGAACCAATTGCCCCAATATCTGTTTACGTTCGTTTTTCTGTCTCCTAAAGCCAGGCCAACCCATGGACTGACTTTTAAACATTCAATCAGTGAATTATGAAAGAATGTTGATGTGTCATGGGGATGGAGAGCATTTGGTATTATCCCTATATGTGTATGCTTGTGTTTATAGCAATCAAATGTGTGTTTTATTACTCAATGTTATCTCACATTGTAATTTGATGACAGTGTGCTATGCATTCAGAAGTTAAGGTTCGAGCAACAGCTATTAGACTGGTATGGCAAAGCAACCTTTGTTCCTGCCAACAGATGTTCTTGTCTGTTGGCTGGGTTTCCAATTGGAATAAGTGCTTATAGTTTTAACATTATTTAATTTGTTTGATGAGTATGTTGTTTTCATTGTTTTCATTGTTTTCATTGTTCATTAGGTGGCAAACAAACTCTACCGGTTAAGTTACATTTCAGATAGGATTGAGCAGCATGCAACAAACATGTTCCTGTCTGCAGTAGACGATGGAGATAGGACAGATGTAGTGCCTTCACCATGTGTATCAATTGAACAAAGAGCTGGAGCAGAGGTCTGTTAGATTGTTTCTTTTGTTTGATCCCACGCCCAAAGATTAAAAACGATCCCTGTGCCAAAAGTCAAATGAGACTAGAATCGAGCAGGATATTCATTATCTCTAACTTTTGTCTTTAGACTTTAATAGGCATAATTAATCCTGTTTACTTTAAATTGACTGCCATGTTTGGAAATCTCCTATGAGTTTATCCCCTTTGCTAATTTCCTCATGAGCTGGGGTCGGGATACAGAAATTGTTCTTTGTTGGTGTTTTCTTTTCCAGATTGCCTTCTTCAAATGATAACACAACGAAGCAATTTTTAGTTTTTCACAACAAGAGGATAAACGTTTGATTGTGCGTTATTGATGCTTTTCCTTACCATGGCGAAAACTGTTTTCTAGGGGGAGAGTCAGGAAACATCCGTCTGCGGTTCTCAAGTTTCAGATCCTGGAACCTCAGAATACGATTCCATGAGGAGTTCACAACCTACAGTTCGTAGCAGTTCAACCTCGTCACTTTCAGAAGCTGAAAGACATATTTCTCTTCTTTTTGCTTTATGTGTGAAGGTTCCCAATCTTCTATGACAGTGTTAATGTTAATAGTTATCGCACGTTGCCTCCCCAAATTAATTTGATACGATATAGTCGTTTTCCTGCAGAAACCTCGTCTTCTTCAGTTTGTATTTGATGCTTATGGACGGGCTTCTAGATCAGTGAAAGAGGTCCTTTCTTCTTCTTCTTCCTCTTCCTTTTTTCTTTTGTTTTGTTTGCTTTTTTTTTCTTTTAATTTTATTATTATTTAAAATATGGTACTCCCGTTAAGGAAATCAATGAACAAGTATTTTTTGTATCAAAACTAAACTGTTACAGGAAGTGGTACTGAATTATGTCTGCATCTTGTTATTATTTGAATCAGGCCGTTCATGAACATATCCCTAATCTTATTACGGCCTTAGGGTCATCTGATTCTGAATTGCTTAGAATAATTTCAGATCCGCCTAAAGGAAGTGAACATCTTTTAGCATTGGTATGTCTTCTTTTATTCCTTTAAACTTGCCTTTGTGGAACAAGAAGTAATTGAACCTCAAACAGTTTACCTTTTTATTTATTATTTATTTGATAGATTTCCTGTTAATTTATTGTTTACTGGCCAGGTACTACAGGTGCTAACTCGAGAGACAATGCCTTCTTCTGATCTGATCGCAACCGTTAAACATTTATATGAAACTAAACTCAAGGTTAGAAAAATATTTATTTTCTATTCTACCCAGTGTAAAAAAAAAAAAAATTGATCCGGATTTTCTTTGTTCACTCCAGGACGTGACAATTCTCATTCCAATGTTGCCCTCACTTTCCAAAAATGAGGTCTCCCTCTCTCTCTGCTTTGGATTTTGTGTTTTTTTTTTTCCTATTGTAGAGAAGAATGTCCAAATAACGATGTCTGAAGCTTGTCTCGTTTATAATGGTCAACCTATTTCTAGATGTGTAGAATGTGTAGTCTATTGACATGGCTCATGAAGCTGTGCATTTGAATGAGCATGTGGGTTGTGTTGTAGGTTGACTCAACGCAATTTTTAGATTGGACTTGACAAAACTTCTATCACCTATAATTCAATTGATCTCGGATGATATCAATTGAATTCCACATTTCATACCCTTGATGCATTTTCTTGTAAAGTGTTTTTTTTTTTTTTTTTTGGTGGGTAGTAATCTTTGTCAATCAATGATACAATTTACCAACGGACAACCTTTTAATCAATAAAGTATTCTCTTCATTGTCCTCTAATCTCAGCGACAAAATTTAAGTAATAAATAGAGAAAAATTTTGCACAATTTCCAATGAGATCTTTGTTGATTTTTTCTTATTCATTCTGAGGTACCAGGTTTTACCTATTTTTCCTCGATTGGTGGATCTTCCATTGGAGAAGTTTCAGAGAGCGTTGGCTCACATATTACAGGTATCTAAAATACTTCAAATGCTTACTTATGTTATTGTTGCTTTGCTGCCATTAATATGAGTAGAATAGAGAAATCTTGTGCGTATTTGTAAGATTTGTGGCACATGGTTGGGTAATCTTTCAATGTATTCTTTTGAATATTTAGTTGAATTGGATTGTTGTTTATTTTAAATATAATGCTAACAGGTCTTTTTTATTCCTTTCAGGGTTCAGCACATACACGTCCAGCTTTAACACCTGTTGAAGTGTTGATTGCCATCCACAACATAATTCCTGAAAAAGATGGCCTTGCATTAAAGAAGGTATTTTTGCTATCTTTTGCAAATATGTATTCGTTAATCATAGATTTTCAAACGTTTTATCCTTCAAAATTTCAATTATCAAAATAAAGAATATAGGTTATAGAATTGGTCCAAATAACTGGGCTGGATATGTCACTATATGTACTTTCCTTGTCATTCAGCTCTGTGTGCTTATTTAACTATAGAAAATGTGAGCTGTTATTGCTCTGTGTGCATTTTATTTTGGATAATGTATGTGCAACCATTTAACCCTTCGTAGGTTGCTGAACTGGTTTCCACTTATACCCTATGTTTACTGCATCANTTTATGACTTTCTGGGCTTCTTTTTTTTTTTTTTTTTTTTTTTTTTTTTTTGATAGATAACGGATGCTTGTTCAGCTTGTTTTGAGCAACGTACAGTTTTCACTCAGCAGGTTTTAGCAAAAGCCTTGGGCCACATGGTATGTTAATAAAGTCTAGGACCATCACTTTTATATTTTTAATTTGGTATTGTAATAACACTAATCTTTTCAGGTTGAACAAACCCCACTCCCTCTTCTCTTCATGAGAACTGTGATTCAGGCAATTGATGCTTTTCCTACTCTGGTAAGTTTTCTTTGATCAACAATTTCAGTTTTTTTTTTTTCTTTTTAGGTAAACAAGAACCAACTTCTAAGTGATATAATGAGGATGATTAAAAGTTTAGAGATACAAGCTTTGGAGTGAAAAGGAAAAATTAAAAATTAGCAAAGACAACCATATAAAGAACAACCATGAACAAGAACTTTTCATAGATCTAACTCGCGTGCATCATTGAACTTTTGTTTATATTGGAGAAGAACCTCTGATTTCTTTTGAAGATATTCTACTTTGCAAAGAACTATTTATGATAAATCAATTCCAGCTCCCCATCAAGTTGTGCAATCCAAGCCAAAAGTTTATCCATAGAAGCAGATTTTGATTCCATAAAAGGAAAGATTCAGTATGCAAGACACAAGGAATGCACTAGAAGATTATTTACTATTTCCGTGTTTTCTGATATTAGGAAATATTTTCATGGAGCTATTATATATTGCCTTTTGGACTGAGATTTTGTATTATATATTGCCATCGATTCTAGAGTTTGGGGTACTAAGTGAGGTGGAAAGAGACTCGAATTTTTAGTCCAAGTAAACGGAGGAAATGATTGTTGTCAACATTGACATTCTCTTTCATTGCTTAGTTAGAAGTATTGGTGAGATCCCACATCGGTTGGAGAGGGGAACGAAACCTCTCTCTAACAGATGCGTTTTAAAACCTTGAAGGGAAGCCCGAAAGGAAAAGTTCAAAGAGGACAATATCTGCTAGCGGTGAGTTTGGGCGGTTACAAATGGTATCAGAGTTAGGCACTGGACGATGGGCCCCTAAGGGGGATGGATTGTGAGATCCCACATCGGTTAGAGAGGGGAACAAAGGATTCCTTACAAGGATGTGGAAACCTCCCTAACAGACGCGTTTTAAAATCTTGAGGGGAAGCCTCTCCCGAGAGAAAAAGTCCAAAGAGGACAATATCAGCTATTGGTGGGTTTGGGCTGTTTACCTGCTGAAATATGCAATCAAAGTTAAAGTTTTTGAGACCTTGACATTATTTTGCTCTAGTTGCGACTGGTCGTTATATTTGTTGCTTCTGAAGATCATATCTATTCCTCATGCTCCTTTCTTTTTTGCTCCCAGAATCTCTTATACAGCTTTGTGCTTGAAATAAAATTAATGGTTAAAATCACGGCTTATTTGGATGACCGTGGTTTCCTTTTCAGGTTGATTTTGTTATGGAGATACTTTCCAAACTTGTAAACAGACAGGTACCTACGGTAACAACTTATGTTTTCCAAATCTAATGAAAGAAAAATAAATAAAAATATAAATGAAGCTCTGCTGTCTTAAACTTTGGTCCTCCAAATCTAATTCTCGGTACTCACATGGACCGTGCTGCTACGTTGTCTTTCGAATCCAGGTCTGGAGGATGCCGAAACTGTGGTTTGGTTTTTTGAAATGTGCATTTCAGATGCAGCCACATTCCTTTCGAGTACTATTACAGGTCTCATGATGTCATCGATTTGATATGGATATCTTTCTCTTATACTTGTTCTTCTTTATGTTCCTAAATAAATTTGTTTTTTTGTAGTTGCCACCGCCACAACTTGAAAATGCTTTGAACAAATATGCTAACCTTAAAGGTCCTCTTGCTGCTTATGCCAGCCAGCCCAGCACAAAATCTACTCTCTCTAGGTACTTTCTCTTGATCTTGTACGTCATTTTTACCTGTTTTTTTGCTTAGCTTTATTCCCTATATTGGCAAATCTTTCCAGAATACTTCCCTTGTGTCTACATTTTATTTAAAGAACAAATGCTTGGGCTTTCTGCAACAGTGTGGTGATACAGAAAACTATAGTCGATTTGGTAACGGTTTTGCTTTTTAGTTTCTGACTTCGGTATTTATGCTTGTTTCCTTTCAATTTCTTTACTACGATTTTTATCTTTGTTTATGAAGTTTCGGTCGAATTTCTAAAACAAAAATATATTTTGGTTTTTCAAAACTTGGATTGGATTTTGAAAATATGTTTAGGAAATAGATAACAAAAACAAAAATACATCTGTTTCTGCAATGCAAGCTAATGATTTTAGTTTTTCGAGTTCTTGTTTTGTTGATCCCAAGAAGTAAAACTTCTAAAACGCTGGATGGTATAATGGCCTTGTGATGGTGTTGAATTTGGAATACAAGACTTAGCGAAGTTCGGAATTTAGAAATTCCTCTCAATAATGTCACGAACCTCATTTTTCGTTAATGAAACCCTTCGAACTAAGCATCTAGGCGTTTTGGATGTCTACCATACTCTCGGAATTGTAACTTGCCGCTTTATTCCTGGGACTTGCGATAAAATTTAGAAAAATTGTGGTAGACTACCCCTCTCCCTGAAAGAGATATCCCAAGACTATGCTATTTTTTATGGATCAGTTCAGAAATCTTGTTTTAGTAAATCTGGGAACACTTCATTTTTGCAGACCGATGCTCGTAGTTCTGGGTCTTGAAAATGAAAGGCATTTGTAGAGAGTGCATTATGTTCATCTTGTAAAGTTAGGACGAATATCATTGGTTTGCATATCAACTCCGGAGTGGTGAATGAGTGAGCCTCGAGAACTTGAGAATCGACTAATCAGCTCTTTGGAGTACGAGGGCGACTTTTCTGCAATCATGGTCCCAGCCAGCTTTATCAATCATCCCGTGGAAGCTCGGTCGCTTCGAACCATATAACCCACCGCAGACAATCAATTTGAAATCCTTGATTATCGGTCTGTGCAGCGGCATGTGAACCCAGTGATTTGTGTCCAGAGATGATTCAAAAGAGTCCAGCTTTGTACCTCACCAACAGCCATCCCCATATAAAATGAGGGGAAGGAAATGCTGATTCTGCGTAGGTGTAAATATCTGCATTAAGGAGTTCTTAGAAATGTAATGTTTTTTTTTTTTTTTCCATTTAGTTCTTTCAAGATTTTGACATTTTATGTACATTAGTTCAGTTTAGTCGGGTAGCTCGTATTCGAACTTCTTGTAACGGGTGCTGCCCGGTATGTAAGTTTGGTGACATTTTGTTCCCTGTACTATATAGTAGCCTTTGACTGTAACCAATTTTCTTCTGTTCCACCATTTAATTCAGTATGGTTTCCAAGCTTATTCTTTGAATGGCGTTTCATTTTGAACAGTGGAATTATAGGGAATTGAGTCATTGACATAAGGTAATTGTTGATGTATCTATTGAGCTATATTTAAATTTGAGTTCATTTATTTTTGAAGGAAGAGGAAGCATGGCAAAGGTGTTTGAGACAAATTATTCTATTAAAATAAAAATAATCCATGTACATCTTATATAACAATGGAATAATTAAATCTTTATACTATGAAAAGAATAAAAAACTAAACTTCCATTTACTTTTTATTTTTAATTATTTAATAATTATTTAAATTGAGACGTTCTTGATTGAGAAAAAATGATTCCCTCGAGAGACTCTTTGTACAAATAGTGAATAACTATGGAGAGCTGTGGATGGATGTTAACCACCGAAAAGCATAGAAGAAAGAAAGATGCACAAATGAATGACAAAGGGCCTAACAAACTACGAAAAGCGCCAAGAGGACAACCCTCACAAGAAAACATTTGCTATATATCCCACAAGAAAACATTCTCTCTTTGTGAATTCTATCACATCATCTTGAGAACCACACAAAATTCTACAACAATTCCTCACCCTATGGCCATATGAAACTGACTAAGATCAATCACAATATCTAAATATGAGAAACATTTAGAAGGTTTAATCTCAAGTATCACGATTTGCCGAACTAATTTATCAATCCTTCTCACGCAAACTCCAAAATTAAGCTCCAATTCCTTCAAGAGTTTATTTGAAATAACTTTCCAAGTACTCAAAAAGACTATTTTAACGCCACCTAAAAACTAACTTTTTTTAAGCATTTATAAAGTCATTTCAAATAGACCTTAATCCTTGTACTCGAAGCTAATCATAACACCCAACCTCCTCTGGGGACGGGGGCTTTCCCTCCTGGGACAAGACTTCCCTTCCATTAGGAAGATGGATTTATCCTATCAGGAGGGGGAGGGGAACCCTTTTGCTGGTGGAACGTGTGGCCAAAAACAAAAAGATGAAAAAACAGGACCTTGGCATATTTTGAGAAATGGTGTGCTGAAACAGTGAGGGTGATGGGAAATAGTAATGTTGCAAACTAACTGTCTTACCCTTGGCAGAAAGTGGCCTTACTTGATTAGGCCCCATCGACTCAGTCACCGGCCGGTTTTACAACAAATACAGAGTTTAGATATACAATAGTCCCTGCCCCCACACTATTTGGAAGGTTTTGCTGTAACAATTGAAGATTCAAAAATTAAAAAACTCTCTAACGTAAGCACTAAAACTCTACAACTAAACGAAGAAACTCATTTCTGTTAAAGAATATGCAAGAAAAATCTTACAAGTAAAAATGATAAACTCGTATTTCTTTGTGTTGAAAGCCAAGCTAGCCATGGATCTCTGCATCACCAACAGCGCCAATAAAAGCAAATGATCCAATCGGAAGTCAAAAGCCACCAAAATTCAGATTTAGATCGAACTGCCATCAAAAAAATATGGGATCTATGTCATTTGTATTTCAACTTTGTTTGCAATTAACCGATGATAAACTTAAATGAACTTCAGGAGTCCAGAAAGTGACGAAGCTATATGCATTTTAATATCAGATAAAACATAGTTTCTTTTCCAACCTCATTTTACACCCTAAATTCTACAATGGTAGACAAAAAAGTTGCAAGAGCCTGTTTGCCTAAAGAAGATGTTACCTGTATCAAATTCTAAGCTTCAAACTGCAATGGCAAAGTTTAATCACTTAATTGGCAGGACATAATCAAGATTCTTCTGAAACACCCAACCGCTCGGATAAAAAGAATTGGGAACTTCCAAATGAAGATGCCAATTCATTACTTTTGAACAGCCAGTTGGCACACCTTCCATTTGACTTTCATCTTCAACTACTTGCTCTATGAATGTAGTCTCCTGTCAAAAAGAAAAAGACGGCAAGCAATGAAATTATAGCACTGCATACATGCGAATGAAAGCTTCAAAAACTGTGGGAAAGGCACATAATAGTACCTGAAAACCCTCTTTCACAGTGTCCAACTGTCGAATGGGTTTTGAAGTAGGGCGTCTCCATCTCTTTGGGTCCCACAGGATGGTGCTGTTGAAAGCAAAACCGGACATATCAACATGAAATCTCCTAAGCCTCTTACTTTTCTCATTGGTGTGCCATCCAATTACTTGACTTCCATTGCATACAGGACCTTCCAGAATCGCTTTATTTTTGTTTTGTGCAAGCATAGCAACGGGCCAAGTGCCAAAGCGACTGCAAGATGAGCATACTAAGATTAGGAATCTTCAAAGTAAACAGAAATTAGAAGTTTGAACTAGCAATCTTCATCATGTTGAGAAAACATGAAATGTAATTTTGGTATGGGAACAATTTGATTTCTAAGATAAAAGGTCGTCTCTCAAAAGAAAACCCAGCTCAAACTATCAAATAAAAGAAAGAAGAGTTGAGTATTATATCGGAAAGGAATCTAAAATATGACAGAGCTTTCCTAACTAGTAACACCTCCTCAAGAAAAAAACAGCATGAATGTAGCTTTTCTTCGGATCTAAACCATTTTCAAATGGAAGCTAATGAAAAAGTGAAGTTATGTGACAGGAAGGGCTAAAAAGAGCCATATTATAGAAACTCATATGACGCAATCAAGATCGAGGGACCATCACACGAACTTCTAATGAAAAGACATAGCATTAGCAAGTGAGATCGTACAAAGTTTGACTCATGAAAAGAAAAGATCACGAATTAGCCTCTTGAAAGTTCTGTCATTGGTAAAAGAACACCGCCAACAAGGTGGTTATTAATCTTTGTCGCTGACGCTCAAGAATTCAGTCAACTTAGATGTAACCAGAAATGATAAGGATGACCACATAATTACACAAAATTAGCTGCGCAGCCCGGGGCGGGTAGGAATATATAGGTGGGAAATTATATGCACTATTTTCTCAGCTAAAGAACTGCCATAATGACTAAGCCAATAAAAACGCACCATGTAACCAAGAATACACAACAAAAGGAAAAAAAAAAAAAAAAAAGACGAGAAAATGCAACAGTGATCGAAACGGATGATCATGTAGTTCTCAATTTTGAATGCAACAGAAAATTTGAACACAAAACGTGCAAACAGTAGATAGAAAGAATATCCAACATTTAAATCAATATATCCAAGAAAATACACATCCGTAAGATCATCAGAATTGGTTTCAATTACCCAATGTCCCTCAGGCTATCGAACAACTCCAACGAATATATATTGTCATCATCCGCAAAGTAAACGATTCCATCAAGCTTATGATGTTCAATGTGTTGCAATGCCACGTTCCTTTGATGAACTCCTCTATCCTTCACGTCCGTCATGTTCTTAGTGCAAACCAAATGCCTGTACATAACACCCGTTTTCCGCAATATCTCGGCAGTCTCCATCGACGCTGAATTCATCTCCACCACAATCCATAACAATGGAGAATTCACAAGCTTCAGCGCCTGACCCAACCTATTCAGGAAATAGGCTTGAAGTGGACGATTATAAGTCGGCGTCACCACAATCAACTGTCTCTTTGGCACTGAGGTGAGAGACAAATTCACTTCTGGAGACGGCTTGACCGACAAATTAACTGAATCGACAACTGAATCTTCTCGCCAAACAAGACCATGAGTATCTTTCTCAAACTGCGCATTAACATGCGGCGGCTTGATCTCAAACGAGAAGTCATGCCTACGTATATCGTCGCCGTCATGGCCAAACGGCATCATACCTAGCAAGAAGCCAAGCAAGAAAAACACACAGCATCTAAAGAATGCCCTTCGCCAAACATTGCTACCTTTCCTCGGAGGATGTCTGAGCAAGAAAGCTCCAGATATAAATCTCCGCACTCCGATGGCAAAAGAAGAGAAAGTAGACGAGTATTTAGCATTCGAAAGAAGCTTCGAGGATGGCGAAGAAGTTGAAAACGGGATTCCGTTAGGATACACCCGATCGGGATACGCCGGCGACAGAGTCCTCCGAATGGACGCCATTAAGCAATCAAAACAGAAGTAAATCTCAATAGCACTACATGAATCTACAACATTTTACTGAAAATTAAAGCTCTGAAGTCTAGTATACAACGAAGCAATCAAACGAATCGGGAAAACAGAGCAAAGTTAATTAGAAAAAAAAAAAAGAACAGATTAACAGGGAAAATGAGAGGAAAAGAATCAACAAAGGAACGGAAATTGAGAAGAGAAATCCGAAATGAAAGGCAGTTGTCGGAGAGAGATTGGGTTTAGGTTTTTGCAGAAAATTTAGGAGACGAGATACTTTGAGGAAGAAATTACGGGCAGGGGCTGGCGGCCAAGATCTAGCGGGAGTTTCTTCTGTGGGCAGAGCTTGCGCGTACAGCTCCAGATGGGCAATGGCTTTGTTCATTAAAAGCTACGCGTTGTGGGCCATTGGATCATTAACACGTGGCCATCTCTGAAACATCTCTAATTTCGGCCCTCGGATCATTACTCTCGTCACATGCAGACTCACTCCCAATAATCTTTAACAATGTCAACTTAATTTTTAAAAATAAAAATAAAAATTTATGGTTGACTAATGATTAATTAGTTAATTTATAGCCACACAGCTCATTAATTACCTTATAATTACTTTAAATCTCAGCATAAGATTACAATATTAAACCCCACAAATTTGACCCACTTTCTTAGTACATTGCATTTAAATTTACACGTGAACAACGTGTTAAAAAATTATATATTAATTCAATAAATTAATGTTGGTAGAATAATTGGGCATTGAAAAAAGAATGAAAGTTTGGTGAGTTATTATTATTACTTCCTATAAATAATTAATTGAAAAAAAAATGTTTTTCCTTGTAAATTTGTTGGATGAAAACGACAACCAATTTAATGTTTCAAATAAATTTCTTAATAAATATTGTATAATCCATTGCATTATTATTATTATTATTATTAATGAAAACAAGACATTAATTATTAATTCAAAATAATTAAATGAAGGGGCTACGGATCCATAACTATTGTCGGCCCAAGTCTCAGATCCATAACTTCATATCCGTTGTGGACCTGAGCCCAAAGTTATAGGCCCATTCCGTGATCCAGACACTAGTTTTTATTTTATTTATTTTAAAAAGATTTTGGGTAACAATCAGATAGCTTTTTTTATTATTATTATTATTATAAATTCATTATCATTCTCTAAATTAGTCGGACTTTCATCCAATAATAAATGAGTCGTATAATTAAGAGTTTTTTCTTTTTTACGGAATTAGTGGAAGTCCTACTTAATATTTAATTTGTTTGTTTGAATTAAACTCCAAAATAATAATAATAAAATAATAAACTAAAATTTTTAATTACGTGGACGGTTTGAATTGAAATAAAATTATTAAAAGGGCTCTTTTTAAAAAATAAAATAAAATAAAGTAATTAATGGATAAGATTTTGAAGAAAATTTAGATAAAAACAAAATGGTTATGACTAATGTGGAACATTTATATCAATAGTTGAATTCAATTAAATACCTATTTTATTAAACTTTTATATCATTTAAAAAAAATATTTTAAATCGAAATTTTGAAAATAATTTATATTACTGGAAGGAAGAGATATAATAATCTAAATATTAGAAATTAATATCGTATCTATTAAATTATATTTAAATTTATGGACCGACCATCTTTATTGGATTATGTTGTATTCGAACTTATTTTTATGATAAAGTATCTATCTTTTAAATAAGAAAAGTTCGGGTTTCAAATCACGAAAAAAAAGGTTCCTTTTTACCAAAGGAAGTGGACGAACCAAATGAAATGGTCGAGGGCTTTTAATTTCTTTTATTTATTTATTATTATATTTTTTAAAGTGAAGGATAAAAAGTAATGTCATAATTCAGTGAATTATGCACTAAATATTTTTTTATTATTTATTTTGGGATTTTATTAAGTTTTAATAAAGATGAAACTCTTTATTTAAAATTAGAAAAAAAAAATATTTATTTTGTTGAAGGGACAAAATCCACTACTAAAAGTCCCTAAACAAATGCTTGAGCACGTGTAAAAAAAAGTTTTAAAAGAGGCTTAAAAGTATTGCAAAATCGGTGTGCCACATAAAAAAATAATTTCTTTTTTTCATTTTAATAAAAAAAAATCCTAAATGGAAATAATATTTATTATTTTAATTTTTATTATCCAATCATGTTTGGTTGGAAAACTCTTCACCGTTGATCCGAAATTTCAAGTTAGTTGAGTTCTTAGCGTAAACAACTCGAATATAACCTAACCCAATTCTTTCTTTTTCGGGTTGAGTTGAGTTGTAGGGTTGTTTTTAAAAAAATAATATTTTAAAAATTGTACTTATAATACAAAAAAATTAACCGATCATCAATTACCGGCACTAAATATTCTTAACCTTTTTAGAAATAGGGTAACTTTGTATTCTAAATTTTTATGGCTAGATTAACCCAACTGAGCCTAATTTTTTCAGCTTTTAAAAAAATTTATCCCGAAAAGTCTAAGTTGGTTGAGTTAATGGGTCATATGAACATCTCCAACGAGGGTACTTTATATAAAAAAATAATTTCTCTCTCTTACCCTTTACTTTCTAGTAGTCAAAAGTTGAGTAGTGGAGCAATGAGACCATCTTCTTCATTTATTGTTTGTCGTAAAATAAAATAACATATCAAACTACTACATGTCGTGGTCAAAATCTCAATGTATTCCATCACCACCGTTCTTTCTTTTTCCTTTTTGATCGACGGTGGTTGTTTTTTTCTTCTGCCACAAATTAATTCTGTATGTGTGAGTAGTGAAGAAAGTTGAGAATGACATAGCCCAATTGGTCAACTAGTAATGCGTTGGTCAAAACAAGACACCAAAAAATGTGGAAGCATTTAATCATCCAAATCATTGCCTACTCCACGTAAATATATTAAACTTCAATTATGATTCTCACGTTTGTTTGTGAAGAACAAAACATATGAAAATCTTTCTCGACAATATTTACTTACTAGCAATGGATCTAGACCATTACAACTTTAATTTAAATTTTCACTCTACATTATACATTTTTTTAAAAAAAAATTATTGATTTTTCTATGGATCGAAAAAAAAAAAAAAAGTGCAAATCTTGTCATCGTCTAAAAAAAACGAGTTACATTATAAAAATGTTTTATGTTTGATAATGTCGAAGATATTTTCGAAGATTTATGACCGTAATATAATTATACACATATATTTATTTTATTTTCTTATTTATTTTTTATGGGTGGTATTCAACTAAATAAATTTTTACTATTTAAAATATAGTATTTCAAATGATATATTGAAATTAAGAGGCAAATATTAATTAGATATTTAAAAATAGGTTACTTACATAAAAAAACAAAATTTTAAAATAATTCAAATAATTTAAATTAATCAAAACATATAAAATTTATGTTGGGTCAGGTTGGGTCGAGTTATTTATTTAATAATAGTTGTTTGAATTAAAAAAAATTACCAATTGGATTGAGATTAAAGAATGTTACAATCCGACTCAATGTAACCTACAAATAACCCAACAATAAAAATTATAATTTTTTTTAGAATATTATAAATGGCTTAACAAAAATATAAATATTATTTCCATTTATTTAGTGATTTTTTTTTTTTAAATATACTAGGGATATAATTGTAAAAAAATGCAACAAAATATAGGGGTAAGAGAGACATTTGGAAGGGTTTTTATTCTTTATAGATTAATAGGACTTTTGAAGGCATGGAAATTACCCTATTACCCCTTTATAAAAAAATATTATTTTTTTCTTTTACCTTTTCTTCGTCTCCCATATTTACCATAATCTTCTCTTATGCATGTATCAAATTCGACGATAGTGACCACCAAGCGATGAAGACGACCCTTGTTGTAACCAACGGCAATGACTCTAGTTCCAACAACGACAAGCGATAGTGACAACGACCTCACACATAACACAATTACCATCACGCCACTTCTTCACAATGTTAGGAAAAATTCGATTCTTCTTACGTGAGGAACAAAATAAAACATATTTGATTGATAAGACGAAGGAGGAAGTAAACTTACCGTCGGAGGGAGTAATTTATAATTAATATTCATAGAAAAAGAATGAAACTAAAAAAAACATAAAAAAAAAAAGAAAAAAAAAGTTGAAAGAGTGATATAAAACAGCAAGGGCAATATAGTAATTTAGCAATACTTGAAAACTTTAGAATTTCAATAATTGAAATGGGAGTGGATGGTGAGTATGACCTAAATTTGAATGCTTTTTTATACAACTTTATTACTTTTAATATGTGGATTTAATTCTTTAATTTCTCCTCTTATCCTCCCACTTTTTTTTTCTTTTTTCCTTTTTATCCACTTTTTCTTTAAAATAGAAAATAGCCCAAAAAAGAAAATTTAATTCGAATTTATTAAACTTCTCCAACCTCAATTTAAATTTTTTCGGTTCATCATTTGAGTAGGTTAATTAAAAATCAATAATTATATAAATTAATTGTCTATAGAATTTAAAAATAAATATCGGTAAATTAAGAATAAATTTATATATTTTATGAATAAATTATCAACGGATAAAATTTTTAAATTTTGAATATTCTAAATATGATAAAAAAAACACGTCACTTGTCAAAATCATAAAAAAGGAAAATCTTTTAAAAAAATTAATTTGAGAATCTTTAATAAATATATCTAAATTTCAATTTAAATTATAAAAAATTTATATTCAATATTTATGGTCGAGTTCCAAAGGGTAAGTACATATTAATTTAGAAAAATATTTTCAGTAATTTTTCATTTTCTCACACCATATCTAATTTACACCTAAATTTACCTAATTTTTAAAGCAAAATACGGAAATTAACTTCATTTCATCACACGTGTGGTCTTGGGATTGGAGACTTAGATTTATTTTTCATTATGAATATTCTCATATAATTCTGCATTTATTATTATTATTATTAAAAAAAGAACAGAATAAAGCACAATCGAGATTTAAAAAAATAAAAAAATTTGATGCACGTGCTGGGAGAGACGTAAGGCACATCAGACAGATATGATCGTCAACTATGGCGGCCTCCAGCGAATGTGGACCCCACTTTCTAATTTCCTTTGTCTCTTTCCAACAATAAATAATTTAAATCCCTATTTTCTTCTCTTTTATTTTTTTGTAAAGAGAATTTTTTTTTTCAAATCATAACAAATTTGATACGCGACTCTCTTCTTATATCATTGTCATACAAATTTTTTTAATCTAATTATTATTTTGAACATAAAATAAATATTAATTTTAATATGAAAATATAACCCGACAAATATTTTTTAAACTATTTTGTAAGAAATGTTTATATTTGATAAAATTAATACGTATTTTTGG